AATGGTTTTGCAGGTTTTAATAAACGGAGGACTGACTGCAAGTCTTCTGGAACAGGGCTGTTCGAGACGATGTTCTGCTGTCAGACTATCTTCCCACAATGAGGCAAGTTCTCCTGAGACCTTGAATATATTTTCTATGCCCACGTCAAAACTAATTAATATTGAAAGGCGCACGCATCCTCATCTCGTCAGTATAGATTATGCATAAGAACAGAAAACTTTAACCTAAAATAAATTGTTTGAATTTCTGGGAGATCTTTGGTTTTCAGTTTGAATTGGAAATTTTAATAGTATACAGACTTACGGACTGCAAATAACATTTTTGCTATGTTATATACAGCATGCCGATTAATGCATCGAGCTAGTTGAAATAACATTCACGTGCTCTGAAATGGGTAGATAATGTGACACACATGAAATGCAGCGGTGATTGTGCAGCGACAGGCTGACTGATCTGTCATTGTAGGAGATGTTTATCCGTCGTTGTTCTGGTTCCCGTCACAGAAGCATAGGTCTCTTCAGGGGGCGCTTAGGATGTCCCACCGGGTCTCTGATAACCCGCAACCACTCATTGCGCCCCCCAATAATTAATGTCTGTTGTACAAGTTTTCAGGATCCGCTAGGAGATTCAATATATCTTATCTGCGGGCCATGCAGAAAATCCAGCATTTACTAATTATCTTAATAACCATCATTTACCGTTTTGTAGACAATATTTTTTTCTTTAAATATACTAAAGAGTGTACGAATACAGTTTTGTATTTTTGTATTACATCAAACTCGCAAATACGACCCTTTAAAATGTCAGTATGATCCGGGACAGTTTAACCCAGACCACATTACCGAAAGGTCCGATTCCAGGACATCTCACGTGGGTTAACCGTGAATGTGTGGGCAAAGCTCAGTCCGTGGCACACTCTACATCACGCGAGACACCGGGTGGATGAGCCCCGGGGCTGCTGGGAGGGGGGGAACCGCTGCTTGGGGTGTGAAAATAGGGGCGGTAAGGAGCGGCAGTCAGCAACAAGGGGTTGTTTTGGGGGTTCTCTTCCGGCGACAGGTTAATGATCACGTCCTCCTGGTCCCACACACGGAAAGCGTTGGCATGCGAGTGGCGGCGCGCCTCGGGCATCTTGGGCGAGCTGATGCACCGCAAGTCCGTCTCTTTTACGGCTTCTTCCCCGTCTGGGCCAAGCACGCAGTCTGCCGCGACAGGAGAGCGATCGTAAATGGTGGCATTAGGCAGGCACCCAAAACTGCTTTTGAGAGGGGGAGTGGGAGTTTAATTTAAAGATTATCAAAAGAGATTGTACACAACTGCGCTTTGTTTCGTTTCAAAACAAAAATTAAATCAAATGTTTAGTTTTTTAATTGATTAATAATCCCAATTATGTTTGTATCAATATTTTTTACTTGATTTTTAAAATTCAACCTCAATATTAAACGTAATTGATATAATATGTCTGTAAATATTTCGTGCAAAATAACCGAATATCAGTCGGACCATTTTTATACATTACCTGCAACATCACCGGCGAGATCCTTGATTATATGGCCAACGATGGTATAAGCAACTGCCACCACAACCAATGCAGCCATCAGTAGATAAAGTACCGCTTTAGGTAACGGAATGAGTTCCCGTTGAGGGGGCTTATAATCCTTGTAGATTGGGTCGATGTCTGGAAACGAATATTGATAAGCGAGCCCGGATCCATCGGTAAAGTTTACATTTGTTATATTTAGCGGATTCATCGCAAAACACAAAATACTGCAACTGGGTGAGAAGAATGTAGTTTTTAGCTTACTTATTCGGAGTTGTAACGATTTTACAACGTCTTCTTTTGTGTTTTAACGTTCCCATTGAATCCAGGTTCTGAAGTCAAACATTTTACACATATTCTTTTGATCCCAGATGCTTTATCTTTAAAAACGCTGGAAACGGTTTAACCGAAACAGTGTAAGGAAATCCGTCCGACGTATAAATATTTAAATAAATAAAACTTCAAATTAAAAAACTGCGCTAATTCTTCCCGCTCGTTAATTTTAAGAAAAACAACTCAGCTAAAGTTTCCTCCATCTTTCCGTTTTAAAAGAATTAATTTTGATTCTGCCAAATATGTTTATTGTTGTTTATTATGTAGGTATCTTACGTGATACGTACTGAAATTGGGGAAAGCAGATATCCATTGGCTTGGTCTGCATTGCATCGCATCCCTGCGTTAACGTCGCTCTCCGCGGTTCTGAAACATCCACAGGAGTTTCCGCAACCTACAAGATACTGTAATATAAATTTCATAGAACTGAAACTCCGCCCTCTTTGGTCGGCTTAGAATTTTAATTGGATGCCTCAGAAATATATTCAAAAGCGGCTCTCCTCTACCTTTTTGACCGATTCTGTTTCATTTAATATCTGGGCGAGGGTGCAAGCAATTTGACTTTTTAAAGTGTTCTACACTTTTTTTTATTATCTACCTGTGTTCTGAAGCACAATTGCTAAAATATGTGTTATATTTTTTATTATGTTATATAAAAAAGTAGCAGTACAGATTGACACAGGTATCTACGCTGGGTATGTATTAATTTAATAATTAAATACATTTATTATTTTTGTGCTCCAATTCTCCAGTTTTTCCCTATAATCTTTGTACTAACATAATGCCTGTCTGGGTTTCCATTTACATGTATAGCAGAATGCTGTATTTGTTTCATATATATTTATAAATTATGCAATTAATGTTTAGAATTAAAATCTAATAATATCAAAGACAATACATGATGGCAGGCCTGGGCATGCATGAGATTCTCTGATTTTATTTAATTTCCACAACAGAAATGGACATGCAAAGGCCGAGGTTAAAAAAAGGGTATTACCACGCTTTCAACTTTCACACTCTCCAGTGGTTTTACAGCTACAATTACACTGATTACCAGAAAAAGAGATTAAATAAATTTGACTGCTACCCATCAAAAATTAATGGGTTATTTATCAATAGCAGTCTGTGGTTTTCCAGAAAGCCCTACCAAGCTCCACGTTTGTGTGCATGTGCATAATCAAAATAATTACTATAGTTAGTTTTCCACTATTAGCAAGCTGGCCATCATAAACGACTCCTCTTTCACTGTCGTGCTCTATCCCTGTCTACCTTCCCCAGACAACTGGCTTTTCTCATTTTCCAAATCTTGGCTTTCGCACTGTGATCCGCATGCTGATCTCTGTTCATTCGCCCGGGATTCTTGTAAAGGCTTCACCATAATCAGCCTGTGGTCCCCAATACATGAGATTTAAGACTTCAATAGATGGCGTGAGACAGTGCCAGGGTCACATTTCTTTCTGTACTGATTTACAAAGATGGTGATTATTTATAGACAATCTATTTTTATTTGGGGTAGGGAAACTGATCTTTCTGCTTGGTTCTGAAGAGCCAGATGGGGACTGATGGATAGATAAAGGACTGCGGGAAAGAAAACGGTGGGAAGTATAGAGACGATGCATATTCTGTGCATCTGTGTGCATCCATGTGTGCATGCTTTTGGGGATAATGATGTAAGAGTAGCAGAAGGACAATAATACTGTATTTCTTAATGAGGAACAACAAGGACAAAGGGTTAGGTTACAGTTGGGCCAGTGCCATTGACAATGAGCGAAGCCAGACCCCATAGCTGCCACTCTTGATGGGTTTATTGGAATATGATACCTTTTGCAGCAATGTTTCACCCTTCAAGATGATGAGCAAAGTCAGACAGAGAGAGAGTATGAAACAATATGTTCCCAAATTTGCCCTTACGTAAACAAGTACAGACGCTTCCCGGGTTACGGCGGTCTATGTTACGATATTCCGGCTTCACAATGGGTAAATGTTTTTCACTTTTAGTACATTAAATTTCATGACATATTCGACACTATTCAAAGTAGGATTTGTGTTAATGATTTTGCCCAACTGTAGACGAATGAAAGTGTTCTAAACATGTTTAAGGTAGGCTAGGCTGATGTCTGTTAGTTTAGGTAGGTACTGTATTAAAATGCATTTTCACCTTAAGATGTTTTCGCTTTGCGATAGGTTTGGTAGAACACAACCCCATCGTAACCTGGGGAGAGGTTGAATTAAAAACATGCATCTACATGTATATACATTGTATTATCTCATCGGCAGGGTTAGTCAAATGTTAGGATGTTAATATAAAAAGCTATTTTGAGTTTTTTCTTTTAAACAAAACAAGGCATAAATAAAATGGTATATTGGAAATGAATTTCACAACATTTATTTTCAATGTTAAAAAAAAGATGGTCGATCATTCTCTCTACTTGAGGAAGTAACTCAAGCTTTGTTTTATTTATAGTTTTTAGAAATGTATAGATTTCTAATCATGGTCTCGATAATGTGGTCTGGAATTCATTTGAGATAAAAAAATAAAAAAAAAGTCGTTTCCTCTCCCCACATGAAGTCAGATAACTGTTCCATGTCTCCTGTCACACTCGACTCCTCACTGGCTATTTTAGGTTGTTCATTTTAATGAAACACACCCTCTGGCTTGACTTTGTTTTACCCACAATCCCCTTGGTCTCAAAAGCCAGGTCTGTCTGTCCCGAGTGTAGACTTTTTCTATGAATGCAATGGTATCATTTTGTCCTTCTGAAGTTTCTAGTGTATTGACAGAGAACCAGGTTCTCCCATGAGAGTCAATAGAGGAAATGCATTGTAATGCTGCATCACATTCATGTACAAGTATTTGGTTGCAATGTCATACAAATCTTCACTATTTGGGAGATAGTGCTATGACAAAGAAATTAATCGATATATTATTATTCATATTGCCCACAAATGATTCTTCATATTGTGTGGCTATATTTATTTGTATGAATTTATTATCGATACGTGTCTTCCTCAATGCTGATTGGTTATGGTTATAACCTTCTAGTTGATATGTATACCAATCACCACTCAGTGGCTTATTCGTCATTAAATTTTTAGGTTTCCAGACTATTATTGGACTCATTGGTATTTAGGGTTATCAAAACTCGAAGAATGATCTATCGATTGTGCTTAAGTTTAGTAGTAAATATTTATTTCTGCCTAACTTTGGAAACATACCGTGTTTTATAAGGATGTCATGTCATTGACATGGGGACCGGAGTGGTATAAGCTGGCAAATCATTAAACTTAAAACGTTGAAGTTTAACAAGCGAATTTCCACGCGGGGCGCGCGCGTGGTCTCGCGGAGACGCCATAGATACCCGGCCGTTGCTCTTAATGATGACGAGTCCGTTCTCCCAAGTAACTAGCAATACCATAATAAAACAAAAATAAAGACCAATTTATTAATAAATACGATCCTAAGGTTATGGTAAGGACATTTACAGTCAAGGACCAGCACCGCAGATTCTGATAAGTAAATATTTGCAGATCCGAAGGGGTTTATTTACTTAGCACACGGTGTTTACATAGGTTAGCCAGGTAGCTAGCTAAGTAAGCAAAAATACTTAACACCCAGTATACTGATGTAAGGTTCTACCTGCATAAACTGTTGCTGAATATAATAGTATTCGTAGATAGCGGATATTAGTCTATTATGGCTGGCTGGCTAACCAGTTTTATTTAAAAAGCGAAAAGAGTTAAGAAGCTTAGGAGCAGACGGATTTTAATTTGGAGACATTTTCCCGGGCAGGTCATGGATCAGTTTTTCGTCGGGAAAATGGCCTCCAACTCTCAGTCTACACCCAAGCCGACTGATCACTCCGCAATCCCGGTACAGTGGAGGGGGTTGATCTCAGTGGGAATCTGACACCGCAGATCCCTGACCCTGACGTAGCGACTGAAACACCAAAAGTGGGCCTTTTATTTCATGTAGTGCAGATCGTACTCTCTCATTCTACATTAAAAAAATCACGCAGATGATTTAAAATGTTCAGATGTTCAAAATTCTCTACATTTAAAAATATCTTTGCATAAATTAAGTATAGTGTAAATCACCTTGTGTAAGTAGGTGATTGGGAGTACTTCCTCATGTCACCCTCCACTCTCAAGAAATCACCAGTATTTTACAAAATAATGATTCTGTTTTAAGTATTTTAGTGTATAGGGCTTTTGGTTGTTTTTCCTTATTGCATAGGAATCTGAGGAACAACTAGAACCTGACCTTGGAAGATCTTCATTTTTAAGTCTGGATGAAAGTCACGACCAGAAAACAAGGTGAGAAAAGATACCATCATTTCCCCAGTAAGGTACTGTGGAGGATTTTACAAAGTCGTAGAAATGTTTACCCATCATGCTTGTTTGGAAACCACAGGGTAATATTTATTTAACTTTTCATCTACTTCTGCAACCCGTTGTGTTGAAGCCTGTGATTTTTGTTAAATGATTTATAGGAAAATGAAAGAAACCCTAGTCCTTTTAATATGTATTTTTTTAACAAAAGATGATGAAAAGTAACATTGGAATAAGTGACTTGAATTTTTCTTTTTAAATGAGCATTACATTACTTTAAAATGTAGTTTCTGTTTAATATCCTGAAAACCAGTCTCGAGTTATGCTGCCAAATAGAGAACGGTGTTGCAGACAGAATGGTGTTTTAAGTTTTCCGTTGTCTTTCATTAAGTGACGAGTCAGGCATCAGCATCCCTGGCGGAGATGCCGACTGTGAATTCCAGAGTGAGGACTCCGTCTATTTCTCTACTCTCAGTTCGAGGATAGATGAGATGGGGAAAAAAACTCAGGACCTAATAGAGAAGATTAATGAGAGCCGTGCAGTAGACCAAGAAATTATGAACAGCTTCCAGGAGAAGTTAATGGATAAGGTAACAAACAATGTATTTCCACTATTTACAATTTTTCAAATGTCATCTCAAAAGCAATAGTCACTTAACGGGTGGATGGCCATACTCGAAAGGAATGCAAAAGGAATGTGCTAATTTATACAGACCCTGCAAAACAGGAGTGGTTAGGGCTAGGCTATATTAAAAAAAAATAATAAGCAACATTTTTTTTAAAAAACATAGAGATAAATGATTATATCGAGATGTCTAACTGCACCACCACCCCCACACACAAAAGCACATGTCCAAGTGACACCGGGTGAGGCACAAGTGGGGGGCGGGGGGGTGGTGCTGATTAACGGTGCTGATCATCGTTGTTCGGTTTCTGTGGAAAACGATCGATTGGAAGGCCGGATTTAATTATGATATAAAACCACGCTGAAGACCATTTAAGTTCACAAACTTATGGTAAGTGGTAAGCCTCACCCACACAACAGCTTTATGACCAATGTTTACATACACTGACAGCTTTGTATCTGCATCAGAAACATAGGTTAGTAGGCTGAACTGAACGTCAAATCATAAAAAAGGGCACGCCAAGATCTGTGTGTAGCCTAATATTACTTCCTCAGCAAAGGAGATAATCGCCTGTCAGATATCGTTGATTATCCATAATATCGTTACATCACCCATCCCTATTGATTCATTCCAGTCACCAACAGCTGGAGGGTTAGACCCTTTAACTGCTGATAGAGATCAGATGTTTCCGTGATACGCAATGCACCTGTCTTGTATAAGCAAGAAATGCATTTAAGGCTAGAATAGCATGCGTCTGCAGGTCAGTGAGGTGTGTCAGCAGGTGCAAGGGCAGATGTTCAGCACCTATGAGGAGAACAGCCGTTTGATGGAGGACAGGCTGAGAGAGCTGTCAGAGGTACTGGACCAAAGCAGCCGGCTCAGTGCTGAACTGCAGAGTGCCAGTCTGACCCTGGTCGCCATCAGCAAAGGCCTGCAGAGACCCCCTGAGCAGTAAACACTTTTCAACCCAGAAGTTACTGCAAAATATAGCCACTATTAATATAGAGGGTAATTCAACTGTACACTAGTACTAGATGCTGTTCATCTTAGTTTCTGTTTAGAACTGCCAGTCTGTGTTTAATACAGTGCAATTAAAAATAAGAGCTTTGTTACACTGATGTTTATACCTGCTTGTTTAATCCTCCCAAAGCTGTCTAAACAAATATCTTCAATTAGCCAGAAGACACGCTTTATATTAAGCTTTTCATTCCCACTTGATATTTCCAATGAAGTAGAAAAAGTTTAAAAGCATTTAGAAACAAGAATTAATTACTTGAACCCATTCTTGAAAAATTACAAAATATAATCGCAATAGATTTTATTAATGCAACGGCATAAATTCAATAGAGTGATGTCAAAAGTCCACGCTGTCCCCTCTTGACAACATTAATGAGAATTTTATTTGCAGCCAGGGCAGAGGACCAAAGGCCAGAGAGATTCAAAAGTGCAAATATTATGATTACCATTTTCACAGGCAATGAAATAAGTGCTATGTCAGTCAAAAATAGTTTCTGTGGAAATTGCTGGTTTCTGTTTTGCGTAAATTTTACAGGTGTTAATTTTAGTCTATACCGTATCCAGAATCAACACATATTATGTAATGGGAAATAGCAATGTAACTGTTCACAGTCACATGCAAAACTGACCAATCTAACTAACTTTGACCTTTCCAACCAAGGCCCTTATTTTATACAGATATCTATAAAAAGAGGAAATAAGGTGGAGATATCCTGTGAATGAGCAGGCCGCAATTAGGATCTTTAGTGTATTTACCGTACTGAGACAGCATCTCATTTATTTGTCTACTGTGAAGGACTGTAGCCCAGTGATGGCTCTACCCAAAATCAAGGCATGGATATCATGTGTACCTGCAAAAAAGCAAAAACAACAGTGAATTATAGACATTCATCTGAATAGTGGGTTTTCGCTGGCGTCCCCCTGCCTTGTGTCACATGGTCCATGGGATAATTTCAGGACCCCTCATCCCCCTGAGAAGGATAAGCAGTAGCTGTATGGTTGGATGGATGGAAAAGTGGGATGTTCTGCATTGAGACCTAAGCAGTGATAATAATGGTTTCCCTGACTGTAGTGTCTGAGGTTTCATGATAATCTCCAGTCTGTGTGGACGGCCAGCCGTTTACCTCTGTGCCACACGGAGCACTCTCCATATTTGTGCTGTTATTGACCTCTACTGGTGGAACTTTGTAAAAACTAGTTTGAGGTTTTCATGGTTCTTTCAAGTAAATCTCTTGGAATCGCAGTGCTCCGATGACAATGAACCTGCATACTTTTGCCTTTCTACACTTCTATATAATGCCCCGGGTTTTCAGACATTCCTTTTTGGTCCTCAGTTGGCCTCATACGCTTAACGCTTCCTGCCCAGATTCCCACATCCTTGCCATTAACCTCACCTTCATACGTGTTGACAGATTCCAAGTTCATGACATGTCGGATGATGTGGTACTCGTCTGCAATGCCGTTGCCCCCTAGCATGTCCCTCGCCTGTCGAGCGATGTCCAGGGCTTTACCACAGCTGTTCCTCTTCAGCATAGAGATCATCTCTGGTGCTGCTCTGCAAGTTAGGCAGATACACAAGCAGAACTTAGCCCCCTTTCTCTGATTGTAGTCACTTTTAGAGTGACTCCTTTCCTAACAACTTTGGAATAGTGTAGGAAAATGAACCACCACCAAAAAGCTGCAGATTAAAGACTTTGAAGGGCTCATGGGCGTACCAATCTTAAGTGTAGAATTTAACCTGGCTTGAGATGGCAACAATTTTCATTTCTTCACATGCTTATGCACAGATCTGATTCTGATCGCTTTTGTCCTGCACTAATATTGAGGTAACATTGCCCACAGAAGTAAAGCTCACTTCTTTTCATCCATGAGTCTGCCCAGCTGCAGACAGGACTGTAGTCCAATGGTGATCTCTGTCAGCATATCAGCCATCTTCTTCTGCATGAGCTGGTTCCTGGCCAAGGGCACGCCAAACTGAATCCTGGCATAGGAGAGTGCAATAATATTAACACACCACTCGTCTTTATATACTTTCACATCTGTTCTATGAAAGAGTTGCCCCATACCTGTCTAATGTGTACTGACGGGCCGTGTGGAAACAAAATTCAGCTGCACCCAGAGCACCCCAGGAAATTCCATACCGGGCATTGTTTAGGCAGCCGAAGGGACCCTAATCAGACCCAACACAATCAAATTGGTTTCAATCATTAAAACCTTTGCAATATCCTTTAAAAACATCTACTCATACTTACAGCCAAACCAGAGGCTTTGGGTAGCAGGTTCTCTTCTGGAACCTCTACGTCATCCATAACAATCATGCCTGTGGAGGAGGCTCTCAGGGAAAACTTGCCCTCAATCTTTGGCGTAGTGAGGCCCTTCATGCCACGCTCCAGAATGAAGCCTCGTATTTTGTTGTCATCACATTTGGCCCATACCACACAGATGTCTGCCGCTGGGGAGTTTGTGATCCTGGCCAGCAAGTCATGATTACAGTGCTAGGTTATGAAATAGTTTTATAAACAATCAAGCATTTTTACACTGTTATGAAATGACGGTTGTTGACTTACTATTTTAGTAGTGAACTGTTAGTAATATGTATAGGACAGGCTCTTCATAGCAGTCAGGTGAGGAACTGTGCTGTCCTGAACTCACCATGTTTTAGAGCCTGTAAGGGTGAAGGTGCGACTGGAGGGGTTGTATTTTGCCCGAGTCTCCATGCTACCCGGATCGCTACCGTGGTTTGGTTCCGTCAGACCAAAGCAGCCCAGAAGATCCCCTTTCGCTGAACCATGTAAAGATACATGAGTTAATTAAGGTGTTGATTTGAAAAAATGACCTACAGTAATGCAATCTAGAGAACTAAGGTATATTCTCTTACTTGCCTAGTTTACCGTGTATTTATGGCAGTCTAAAGGATGGATTTAAAGATGCTTTTTCACTAGAAATCTGTGAATTCTTTAAGAACTAAAAGCTAAAACTGAACAGCAGAATGTTACATCAGTAAGCAGTCACGGTGGTGTTTGTGGCCGCCTCTGCTAACCCAGTCTAGGGAGGTATTTCTCCTTCTGCTCTTCCGTGCCATAGGCGTAGATTGGGTGCATGACCAGTGAGGACTGCACACTCATGACTGAGCGGTACCCGCTGTCCACCTTCTCCACCTCCCTGGCAATGAGTCCATAGGCCACATAGCTGGTGCCAGCACAGCCATAACCTAATAACAGTTTGGAGGAGACAGAGTAAGGGAAGGGATGAAGTAAAGAAAGAGGATTTGGAGAGCAAACAGGATAGAAGGGGATTGGTTACAGGATATGCTGTGAATTCCACGCCATACATATACTTTTCTTATATCTGTAAGATACATGACACCCCGGCCACTGCAGTCTTTGTTTACCTTTAATTGTTGGGCCCAAAACTCCCAGTTCCCCCATTTCTGACACAATATCACGATGGAACACTGTGCAAAAGAAACAGATCAACTGAGTATTATTAAAATTCAAGAGTGGACTTTCCAATTCATTTCCAGTTCCAATTATTCTTTGAAGAGAACCGCAGCAAAATGCAATAAAACGATCCTGCATGGTATTTCTTCCCAATTGGAAAGGGGCATTGCTGTTTCCCAGATGTAAATGTAAAGCCTTTGGTTAATGCCTGTTCAGGTCAGTCTCTGAATTTTCATTCCACCTTTAAAATAGTTAGAGATGGAGCACCCGAGAACACAATTAACCTCACAGAGTTTGATGGATGGGGAACTGCATGGAACATTCTGTGAAGTAAAATGTATAAGACCCATATTCTGAGTATTTTATTTGAAAGGTACCACCAATCTACAAAGACATATCTGGGCTAAAATGTGTATTTTATAAACTGTGAATTTTGTATTTGCATAATGTATAGTGGTCTGTTTGCACACACCTTCATTTCTGTTGGCCATCAAAATCCGTGGCATGAGTTTCTCCTGGCAGTATGTACGGAACGAGTCTCGAATCATGATCTCTTCTTCAGTCAACTGCCCCTCCAGGTCCAGGGGATCACGCCAGTTGAATTGGACCTTAGCTACCATAACACCGAAATTATTACAATGTTGAAAATGACAAGGAAAAACTGATAATTGACACATCTGCTACATATGGTCTGCTACATACGTGGTTTCACTGTCGTGTTATCCCTCGCCGCCTCACCGTCTGAGTAAAAAAATACCCGCAATAAATGAGGTAATGTACTTTTGAGGAATAATAGTCAAACATCGAATCTTTAATAAACTGCCTTCACATTTGTCGTGTGTCAAACGCGGTGCGCAACACACCAGAGCGAACAGGTGCGACGGTCCCCTGTCCCCTCGAAGCCGCCATGAAAGTACATATGTGGGGTTTGACGAGCAGGCGCAAAGCGGCTCTTCGTAGCGCCATGGCTGCTGTACTCTGAACAGACACGAAACAATGCAACATAAATACTAATATGGAAGGAAATTTCTCAAAGCAGAACACAGCACGCGGCAGCTATTAGTAGCGAAATATGTCAGATTAGTTATTTATAGAACCGTCTTAGTCTTTTATTCAGCTAACAATTTATACTTTTTTCTTGTCGCTATTTGACGAAGAAGCTATTCAGCTGACAATAATACACGACATAAGTTAAGAATTATAATACTAATAATTATTCTGCGTTGTAAAATCTCCCTGACCCCACCACAATAACATAATGAAATTATAGAAGGTTATTATACAGATTACACAAACGCAGTTACATCTTTAAGGAACTATTATTATTAAATCCGTCGACTAGCTGTCATGCCGCTGCAGAAGGTCATTAATTTGAAATAACTATAGTTACATGAATAAGTTAAGTGTCCTTGTCATCGCGTTTCGGAAGATAGCTAATTATAGTCGTATCCCCAACATAGGTATGTAGCACCTCCATAAGTTATACATATATATTACTATAACTTACGCGTTAGAACGTACTTTCAAATGTAATGAATAGTTGACTTTACCCGTGCTTCTAGGAAAAAATTCCTTTTGCAATCTGTCAACACTGAAGAGCCGACGTCACTAAAGTGCGACAAGTCTAAAACAGGTTGGAGAGGTCAGTTTGGACTTGCTTTTCTGCCATTTTGAGCGCGGCAAATTGGAGGACATGTATTTGATGTTTTGATCACTAAAGCAATTTATATAAAGACGAGACACTGGAATTGCTATGCCTGATTATAGTCCCACAAACATACAGAAGACTGAGATGGATAAAGGAAAATATGGTTGTTATTTCGAAGCAATATACAGACAAGTAAATGTTGTATTAACTCAGTCAACAAGACCGCATCTCGATGACTAATTTCAGATGACCATTTAAGATGATGGTCCTGTGTTCATCGGTATGATTGGCGTCTTAGAGGGGGCGTGTATATTTTTAGCATGTCCATTGGACGATTGTTTTTCAACACGGCTCGGTAAAATGCACGCATCTTATGCATAATATAATTAGATTCATAGATAGTAACGACTGATTTTTAGTCCAACAAGTTCTCAGTAGAATAGTAATTTTGAAGCTGCTTTATAAAATAATAATAAAAAAAGACAATTCATTGTTATAGGTAATTGTTATCTTTAACAATTTGAAATAAATGAAATAGTTTGTAATTCACGTTCATCCATCCATCCATGTTCCAACTGTTTATCCAGTAGCCTACGTACAGGGTTATCCCGGTATTCCTTATTTCTCTACGTCCATAATAAGAGCATTAGCACCACTTTTCCATCACATTGCTGAGCTTTAATACAAACCACTATTTATTACGAACGCCAATTAATTTCCATACCAGATTCAGACCATTTAAAATGACTCATAAAAATACAGTAAGAAAAAGCGGAGACCATTTCGGTAATTGAACAAGCAACATATACGATTACACTTCAAATAACAAACTTTATGTCCGATCCTATTAAAATATGTTAATTCGAGTTCACGAAGAGCGTGCCAGATCCCACATTCCTTCGTAGTACCGGCAGGGAAAATGTTAAAAAAAAATCCCCACCCACCAGACCACCGGGTAGTCAATCGGTGAATTCCCTAGCCTCTATTGGTGAAGGTCTTTTTTTGTCCAAGAAAGAATTCTACCCTATAATACATGTGGTACTTATGGTGGGTAGGACAGATTTTAACCGTCAGCAAGGCGTCCCCGACTGTGGTCAGTAGAAGGGCTGCACAAGTAGCGGATGTTAGACTTGTTACGATGTGTCTCGTTTAACTTTTAGTTGACCAAAAACACTCATAATGGAGCTGGACTATAAAAATCCTGACAAGAAATATGGTAAGTGTCTTAGAAAACGTAGCCAGTATATCCATAGGCATTGTGTTTTGAGCTTAAGTAATGTACTAGCTGCATTGCTGCATATTTTTGTTTTATTGCTTAAGTATAAAGCGCCGCTCCGATCATTAGTAAGACCAGCATGTAGACAGTAAATGGTAGCTGTGCTGGTGCGTAGTACATATAACTTAGCCAGGGAGTTCTGAGTCGTAAATGAACTACAGTGAGCGAAGTGTATGAAAGAAGAGCACATGGGCTCTGATTCCTTTTAAAAGCAGGTATTTTCCGCTGCCTTTGGGCATTTGCAAGAGGCTGTATCAGTCTAAAATAATTACTTAGTAAAATATTTCTTCAATTTCAAACGATAAACGACTTTTCTCCCGATGCTAGTACAGTAGTCAGCGAAAATTCCTCAAAGGTACTTTCGATTTCCGTTTGCGGATTGATTTAGCTGTCAGTTCTAAATTAGTTTGTAGACTCTAATTTTATCCCTATGCGTATAACACCTTTACCATGACGGAGTCTCCATCCCCGAAACTACATGCATACTCAACAGGAGGACCCGGGAGAGGAATTAATAAAAAGATTTTCTTTTTCTGGCATTTCGCCTAATTAGAATAACATAACAGCCCACCAAGTACTGGAAATTTATTCGTAATCCACGTAATATTTTAACTTGGTTTTCTTAATGCTACAATTCTAAAACAAAATGTGTTTAATTTTCCATTAGTAGGCTATATAGTGTATGTGGTATATGTATTGCGATTTATATATAGAATTACAACTGTAACACGTACATTTTAAACATTTACACCAAATATTACATCATATGCGAAAAGGGGATCTTATTCACTGCATATAGCAGATATTAAAACCTGTCAGTCATTATCTGCAAATGTAAATATCGTGGTAAGGCAGTGACTTCATAAAGCTGCATGTAGATTTTATGTTGCCTGATTTCGCTGTTTATCGTACTGAATCCTACTTTGTCCACTTTGGAATAGTATACCAAACAACTAAATAACGGTTTTATTAAATAAAGGGCATCTCACAGTCACATGAAGGTTATTCTTTAGTGATAGATCCTTAGTGGGTTTGTGCAGTCTGTGTAGAGAGTCTTAGGCTTTCCTCCTCATTCTCTTAAACTTTATCTATCTATCTATCTATCTATCTATCTATCTATCTATCTATCTATCTATCTATCTATCTATCTATCTATCTTATAATGTCCTCGTTTTCATACATGCATATTGTCGATAGTGTTACATACTATGAAGGCAGCGTTTAAGAAAACAGCTTGTCAACATACACAGATTGTGTCCGTCTAAAAATAGGGCATTCCACAAGCAGGCGTTAGGAGACAGCGGGAAGGGGCGTGTCTACATGCGCTCAACTTTTCCTTCAGTAACACAAAGCAGGCGAATTCAGAAATCCCACAATCCCTGATTATTCTTGCATATTAGCAAAGTCTCTGGGAAATTTTTCCCCTTCTTTTGGCACGGCCTCCGCTGCCTCTGAGATGGCAACAGAGTTAACAAAGGCCTTTTAACAAAATCTAACAAACAAGGAATGATCATGTAAGAACAGGGTGAAAACCGAGATGGTTCCATGAATCCTCCGATCCCTTCATAATGATTCATGAGATGATTTCTGTTCTTGCCTTTAGCTTCCGTCAGTATTTTTTTCCTTCCCCTCAGGCTTCCTCTCTCCCTCGCAGTCAGTCATTCTCTCACACTCTGTCTTGTCTCACCATCACTAATTGGTTTGGTAATTTCTCTCCCAGGAGCTCAGACTAGGCGGCACACAGCACACATCAAGCCTGCCCTTTCCCTTGATGGATTTCCCGTCATTCACATTCAGCACTGAGTCTCCCAGGACGCTCGTGCAGCTGCAGCGGTATATAATTAAAGTATTTGCAAGAAACAAACAAAAAAAATCAACCTGAAACTCGCACAGATATCTCCAGAAAAAAAAGAGTTCCTTCGAGCCAGAAGCAAAAACAAACCTCTGAACTTCTGTTTGGTATTCTCAATGCTAAGTGTACTGCTGTGCCGCCCGGAATGTCATATTTATTTTAAAAGAAGTAATATTTTTGGCTCAAGTAAAAACTACAATTCTATGAACTACATCATTCTTTAAAGGAAGCTGACATGGGCCAATCTTAGTTAGGCTGGGAGGTATATATAGAATTTGGCACTACTGTATGTTTTTAATTATAGTTGAGTTTAGGAGTGCCAGTCCGTATTCGTCCTTCAGAGGGAACTCGTAATAACAGAGAAGCATGCTGGGACTGAAGCTGGTCTGCGCCATGTTGTGGTTTCAAATTGCAGCTAATTATAACCTTCTGTTAGTGCCTCAGTTGTCGTGCCTTAGTTATATGAAATGTGATAGTGATTATTTTTCTAGTCTCATTTTCTGGGCTAGTTTTGGCCTTGGCCTGCTTTGGTATCGTATGTTTTACGTGTTTGATGAGATGGCTTTTTTTTTTTTTTAAATCTCCTTGCCCTTTTCTGGAAAATCAGTATTGAGTAAAACTCCCAACACACACGCTTGTTTTATTACTGAATTTTTTATACGCCATTTTCATGAGATATTCATGCTGCAAACTAGACCCAGGAATTTCTCAGTTTTGTTGAAGCATCACTGTGAGGTTAAAGTCACGTTGTGACACTTTGACACCTCACTGAAGTGTAGATACGAAGAAGCAGCAGACGCTGCGAGTCTGACGTCTTTATGCTTCTGTCAGGCCAGTGTTTTTTTTCCATGAGAAGTTTTTCCTCCCAGTGGGGAAGCATGAGACCGTGTCTGTGACCTCTTCCTTCCTAAAAAGTAGCTTTGCAGCGTAACCAGACTACTGATTACGACCCTTTGACGTATCACAGGCCACGCACTGCAAGGGACTGCACACAATTTTCGTTATACCCTTGTATAATGACAATAAAGTTTCTGACTTCTGTAGGATACTCACCATTACTCTTGTAGGATACTCAGCATTACTCTATTGGGTGTCCTAACTATTAAAGTGGCTTTAGACATGGAGAGTCCTCAGACTGGCACTGATCCACAATAGCGAGCTGCCTTGTATCTTGTCAATCTATTATTACAGAACATGGGGCTGCGAGCAGGTCTGCTGTCTTGTTGTTTCATTGTTATGTGATGTGTATACAGTGCTCATTGTGAGGGTGATTCAGGCAGGTTGGTGTGGGTGTGGCTTCAGGTGAGGCTGTTCATCTACTGCGGAATTATCCAGGTGCCCCAGGTTAATTCAGCTACGTAAATGGTAGGGTGTTTAATTCAAATGTTTAAAGGGATTAGTGAATAAAATTCTTGGGTCATGAGTTTCCTATCCGTTAGTGCGGTACATTAAATAAATGCAAACTGTACATTAACAACTGTACAACAGTAAACATCTACATATGCACAAGGAACAGTATCATACACATTACAATACGATATAGATACAATATACCGTGGGACATTCAGACAGACTGTAGGGGTAACACAGCACAGGTTAGTGCACTAGAGGCATTCACCAGTACACTGGGGAGTGGGGGTGGTGACCTGGGGGAGTGGCTGATATCAGTTGGCGTTCAGCATCTTGGTGAGCTGGTGAAGAAGCTGTTCCGGAGCCGGCTGGTCCGGCTGCGAGACTGTCTGCCTGATGGTAGTAGGGGAGCAGAGTGACTGGGGTGTCTGGAGTCCCTGGTGATTTTAGCGGCTTTCCTCAGGTTCCACCTGGTGTAGGTGGCCTGTAGGGGGCGGTAGCAGTTGGGGTGTCTGGAGTCCCTGGTGATTTTAGCGGCTTTCCTCAGGTTCCACCTGGTGTAGGTGGCCTGTAGGGGGCGGTAGCAGTTGGGGTGTCTGGAGTCCCTGGTGATTTTAGCGGCTTTCCTCAGGTTCCACCTGGTGTAGGTGGCCTGTAGGGGGCGGTAGCAGTTGGGGTGTCTGGAGTCCCTGGTGATTTTAGCGGCTTTCCTCAGGTTCCACCTGGTGTAG